AAAAAAATTGCTATTCTTCCATTTTAGCTCCTTTTTATTCACATTAGTCAATATTTTAAAGTAAAAATCAATCATTACTACAGATTTATCTATAAAATTTACTAATAATTCACTCATATCTATCTATAATTACCAATTATTATTATCATATCAAATAACTTTACATTAATAAATCACTAATTCTTCCACCACCTTGTTTTCACCAATAAAAAACTATCATTCAACTATTATTCTATACATCCTATACATCCCATTAATATACATCAAGAAAATCATTAGTTCTTCAACCAACTTTCTTTCAGCGATCAAAAATTTTCACCAAAATGTCAGCATATCCAATCGCACCCGTTTTCTTGATACATTCATATGCTCATATAAAAGGCAAAACAAAAAAATTCCAATAGCAATTACAACGAGACAATGCAGACTACACACTTAACAGCATCAGAACATCCTACCAAACAGGATATCATTAGAATCAACACAAAATAAGAGTTTTTATCCAGCAAAAGCATTTTTTCTTTTCATCAACCAGCTGCACATTCCATAGAAAATATAAGCTTTTTACGATATTCGACATGGAACGTTGCTAATACCGGAAACAGAAAACAACACATATAGCAGTAATTACGTGAACATATACTTTCAGGACAAACAAAAACATCAAAAATCCCAGTTCAAAAAATCACGAAATCATAACTCATACCTTGTCGGTCTCCATATCTTTCGTCACTTTCGATGGCTTCACCACTCTCTTCCCTTCAATCGCAAAAACAATTTAACATCAGATTCATTGGGGTACGAATACATATGTAAGTTCATATGAAAGCGAGGTTACGATGCCAATCACCTTTTCGCGTGTAAGCAACTTTGCCATGCCGATTAGGAGGAATCGATTTCTTCTTCTGCTGCCCTTTGAACAGATTCGCCTTTTGCGTCATGCTAAGGAATTTAGGGTTTATCAGCCCCTGTTTTTCCTTTCAGCTCTAGGGTTTCCGGTTCACGAATTGGGGAAGTTTTAAACCTTCTATCGTGACCGGTTCGACTGGCGGTCCTCGACGTCTTGCACTTCTTAATGGGTTTGATATATGGAGTTTGTTCGACTAACATTTTTTATACACCAACAACAAATAAAACGACATGAAAGTAATAAATTTTTATTATAAATATGTGGATTTACCACTAATAAAAATAATAATATTATCTTTATATTA